GGGAGGCCTGGTGGGCGAGAGCATGCTGTCTGTGTCGTATCCATTCGGAAGTTCCATACCTATGTCGCAGTGGTGTGCTGCGGTCGCCATGGCGGCGTACTCGAGACGCGCTAGTTGCATTTCCACCACGGAGGGATCGTCTGCGTCCAGTCTTCCCCTCCTTATACTGGGGTCATGGGTGATACTCGCGAAGCGGAAGGCTAGCACTTGCGTCGGGTCTGGTTGCGCACCCCCTAGGCGTCCTTCGTGGTCTCCTCCCGCGACTGACCAGACTAGCCAGGAGAGGTCCAAGATGGCGAGGGTTGGCGCCGAGGTGGCTCGCTGAGATCCGAGCCCAGGGAGGAGAGCTTCGTTTGGAACTGCTCGCAGGGGGCTGCCTACCCGTATGCCTGGATGACCAGGGCGGCGCCCCCTCCACGCGTGGTGAGTGAGGAGCTCCAGGTCACTGGTTTCGCGCGGTGTTCTCGGTGCCCCTCGTTCGGGAATTTCGCGCCAGGGGCCTTCGATGCGCACTTGGTGGCGACGGAGGGCATTCATGGTGCCTCCCCTGCCAGTGACCCAAGCGTCAGCAACGCGCGGCCCACACATGGGTCCGTCAGCCTCTCGACTGGCCGCCCAGTCTGCCTTCGTGTGCCCAGTGGCGTCCATCCATCGAGCGTGCAGGTCGGTTGCATACTGTCCCCTTATCTCCATGGGCCTGGCCGGTGCCATCCTCGGCGTCCGAGGGGGCGCCCTGGTTTTCCATCCGCAGTTCCCCCTCCAGGGCTACGTCAGGAGAAGGGTAGGGGGGTGGGACGGGCGTAACGGGCGTTCTGGGAGCCGCGCGCCTCAACACGAATGGAGGGCCGTTGGCAGTCCTGACGAGGGGTCCACGGTCCAGTCCTTGGGACGGGTCTTCGCAGCCGTGGCCACTAACGCCCAGAAAGACGTCTGGATGCTCTAGCCCAGGGGGTGAGTCGGGAGAGGAGTGGATGGGAGGGGGGCGGGTCGGCGAGGAAAGGGAGACGCAGGGCGATCCCGCGGCGACGATCGGAGGTCCGATGGGATCGATCAGATCGACCAGGGAGCCTGCCACGCAGGCGGGGCCTGTGGAGACCCTGCTGGCATCGGACGTGCGGGGTCGGCCCGCAGACAACGCCGTCGTCGTTACCAGGGAAGGTTGGTCGCGGTCGGTCGTTTCGGCGTTGTCGGCAGCGGGGCGCGCCGCTCTGTAACCCCTGTCGCCCACCCCAACTTTCTCCTGCTCGCTTCTTCCTGGCTGAAGGCCAGTCCCGTCGGTGAGGTTAGCGGCGTGGGAGCTGGGCGCTGCTGCTGTAGCGGTGTCCATGTCTCCAGGGAGGGGATCGGCGGTGTCATGGCGGCAGCCAAATGGTCCGCTTGCGCCGCTGGCTGCGCCAGCCGCGCGGCCCTCGAAGCGTCTTCTCTGGGACGGCCCCGTTGCGGAGCATGTCTTCTCCATGACTACGTCGGCGGGGTCGGCCGATCGCCCGCGGCTGGCTTGGGGATCCACCTGATGGGGGAGGCCCTGAGTGGATTCACCAGGGATGGCAGGAGGGTCGGTGTCGTCGTCGCCCGTGGTCACAGCTTCCGCGGCGCTCTCGGCGTCCACTGGCGCCGTCTCTGGTTCTCGAGCTGAAGGCTCGTCCCTTCTGTGATTGTCAGATACACCTTGGAGACTCGAGCTGAAGGCTCGTCCCGCCTGAGAATCCCGAGCTGAAGGCTCGCCCCGTCTGCGACTGTCCGACTGGGGGGCGGGTGACGGACGGGAGTCCTCGGGATTACGGGAGTGACCAGGGGGTTGACTGGTCGCCGCGTCGCCGTCAGCGCCCGCCTGTCCGTTCGAAGCATCCCGAGCTACAGACTCGCCCAAACCTGCTGTCTCGCACGGCGCTCCCCGGGCTGAAGGCCCATCTTCTGCGTGTACCACGCTGCTGCATCCAGGGAAGGCGGCGGGCGGAAGGCGAAAGCCGTCTTGACGTCGGCTCACGTCCGCGGGGGGAGTCGGCTGCGCGACTGGGACGCCAGCCCCCACGGTTAGAAGATTGGCCCCTTCGCAGCTGAAGGCTGCTTCTCTCTGCATTGAAGCGCCCAAGGGAGGGCGTTCGGCGGAATGGAGGCGCAAGCCCATAGGATGCGGATCGGGGACATGGGCAGACGACTGTCCGTCCCCCCACCTGTCGTAACCGTAGTCACCCCCCTGGGTGGCCTCAACCCTAGGCCACCCGCCCTCGTCGGCGAGGCTCCTGGGCAGCTCTTCGAGAACGCCTCCTTGGCGGGAGCTCCTGCGCGGCACGAATGGACCTGAGTCCGTCGGGGGATGCACTTGATCAGGAGTGGGGCCAGCGCCCCCCGTGGTCCTGGTATCGCCATGCGCGATCCAGTTCTGCCCTTCACCGCCAGGAGAGAAGGAAATTGGACGCCCAGCCAGGGGCAGAGGAAGTGTCGGGGTAAGGGAGGGAAACAAGTCTGGCGGGAAGGAGTCGTTACTGACAATGTCAAACCCAGGGAAGCGACTGAAGGTCGCAATATCAGTGTGTCTCGCGGCGCTAACCGTGGCACCCCCTCCTCCCGTCTGGCTGAAGGCCGATGGTTCTCGTGTGTATGCTAAGTCGACGGGAACGATCAAGGGGTCCGCGGACGCGTTCGGACCGTCCGAGCTCGGAGGGTCCCCGGGAGCGAGGGGCGACGGCTGCCCTGGCGGGATGGTGTCCTGTGATCCAGGGGGAGGATGTTTTGAACCAGCCGGTCCGTGGGCCCCCTGGCCGTCGACTAGGCTTGCATCGTCACCCGCGGGGTTCCCAGGAATCCTAGATCTGTCGTCGATCGGGTTCCCATCCATGCTAAGCCTGACCTGCAGGCTGGCTGCCGCGCCGCGCCGCAGGGGCGAAACCCAGGGAGTCTGATATGGCCGGAGCGCGCCCGGGGGGCAGCGCGCGGCCCGCAAACTCCTAGGGGATGACCCCTTGAGCTGGGAGACCCGGCCGAGGAGCCAGGGCCCAGAGACGGCTTGAGCCAAAGGGGATGGTGGGAATACGCGAAGCGTCTAGAATTTTTCAGCCATCCCAGATGGTCAGGGCAGTGAACGGTTTCCCCCAGAGCAGTAGGCGACCCGATGAGGTGGAGGAGGAGGAGGAGGAGGAGCAGGAGGAGGAGGAGGAGGAGGAGGAGGAGGACGAGGAGGGGGAGGGGGAGGAGGGGAGGAGGAGGAGGGGGAGGGGAAGGAGGAAGAGGTGGAGGAGGCGGAGGAGGAGGAGTAGGAGGGGGAGGAGGAGGAGGAGGAGGAAGACGAGGAAGAGGAGGAGGAGGAGGAGGAGGAGGAGGAGGAGGAGGAGGAGGAGGAGGACGGGTCGCCTCAGCCTTTCGGAGAAACTCTCCACAGGGCAGGGAGTCCCGCAATGCCGCCGCCCCGGGAGTCCCCCAGGGGGCCCCGCGGCCTCCAGCCTCCGGCGCACCGACCTGCCCACGCGGAGCCCCTGCTGGCCCCCCGGCCCCTTCGGGGGGGGGGGGGGGGCGCCTCCCCCGCTGAGAGGCAGGCCTCTGCACGCCGCGAGAGGAGGGCCGCCAGCAAAAAGAGACGGCGTGGGCTGGCGGGCGGAGAAATGTTTCAATAATCTTTCTCGCCGTCGGGGACGCCTGTCCCAGGGCGGCTGGAGAGTTTGTACCCTGGCGCGCCACCTTAGGGGTGTAAACACTCCAGCCGCCCTGGGACAGGCGCCCCCGACGGCGAGCAAGTTTTTGTTGTTGACCGTTGTTCGCCATGTGGGAGAAACATACGGGACGCCCACGCCCGAAAGCCAGGCGGTCAAGACAGGTCTCCAGACCTCTGCCATGGCCATCCTGACCAGGGTCGCTGTGGCCGCCGTCGCCGCCGCCGTCGGCGTTGCCGTTGTTTGCAGGGCCGCCGCCGCCGCCGCCGCCGCCGAATGCAGCCGAACCCCACCAAAAACTGCAAAGACAGAAACTGTTCGAGGTCCGCGCGGATCTCTTGGATCGGCGCTGGACCCCCCTCCACTGGCGCGAGGAGCGCGCAAGGGGGCGCGCCCGAGGCGCCGCCAGGGGGGGCCCAGCGCCCATCCAAGAGATCCGCGCGGAGCTACGAAAGTTATGTTTATGGTGTTCTCGTCAGGAGAGGCTAAGTCCAGACGGAGTAAACCCACACGGAGAACGAGCACTCCGTATGGACTTACACCAGCATGGACTCAGCTTCCCATCAGGAGAGCCTGAATCCAGACGGAGTAAGTCCATACTGAGACCAAACACTCAATATGGACCTACAGTCAACCCGTATTATAAGGATGCGCGGTAAGGATGCAAGGGTCTTGGAAAGCCATCTTGACATTTTTCGAGTGGGGCAGGGCAGCGAAAGATAAGGATGGGCCTAAGGGGCAAGGGTGCAAGGGGAACCTTGGAAAATTCGCTCATCCTTGCTGTGCGGGTTGACTGCACTCCGTCTGGACTTTTAGAGGCCTCCTTGATCGGGTCCGAGTAGATGGGGTCGAAGGATCGCGCTGCACATCGCCAATGCATCGCCGATGCATCGGCGACGTCGGCGATGTATCGGCGACGTCGGCGTAGGGAAACACGGGCTCCACATCGAGCTGCATCGTCGATGCATCCGCGATGCGTCGCAGTCCTCCGGACCCATCTACTCCGACCCCACCTAGGAGGCCCAGAACTTTGGCCTCCGCCGATCTCTGCTCGTCGAGAGACCCCGCCAGGGAAGGGGGTCCAGCGCCGATCCGAGAAATTCGCGCGGACCTCCGAGTTTTTATGTTCATGTCATTCTTCGCTCCCCTACAGTCGGACTTGATTGGACAGGACGCGCGAGAGGGCACAAGACCCTTCCAACGGCCACATTGCCATAGAAATGTAGGAGGCATGAATCGCGAGGCACAGGACACTTCAGGGTACCCTTGACTCTTGACTTGGCAAGGTCGACCTGCTGATCCGGCTCGACAGCACCTCTGCTCTTCGAGAGACCCTGGACGGCGCGCAGGCGCCTGAGGGAGGAGGCGTCTGCACGTGCCGGACCACGGGCGCCACGGGCGCCGCGCGCACGGGCAGCCCCGGCTGCGGCGGCGGGGTCAAGGGCAGGGCTCCTGCGGGGGCCGCGGCGCCACCCGGGGCATCCGGCCCCGGAGGACTTCGACCACACGCAAGAGCGACCTTCGGTGCGCGGCTTCTGGGGGGCGCGAGAGATGTTACCATCGTATCGCTTTCGGTGATCTTCATTTTTATGGACCACCAGGCTATGCTCAACAAGCTGCCTCGCCAACCTGCCCAGAGACCTAGGATCAACAAGTCTTGGACTGCCAAATAACATGTCGATGCGTGATCGGTATAGGCAGGATGGTGGCGAGAGCGCGGATGGCCTCCCGACCCTGCGTTTTGCTAGCGATAAGGTCACTCCGGCGAAAGGTCACTCTTGCGTCTAGTCGGGGACCGTGGAGGGGCCCAGGGAGGCACGAGCCTGACTGGCCAAGAGCGGGAGGCGCCGCCGTGGCCACGAAGCTTGCCAGGGAGCGACCCCTCGAGAACCCCAAAGAACTCTAAGACGGTCTGGGGCGGCTCTCGTGGGCCATCTTGGCGTCCTCTTCGGCCGCTTTGGGGCTCTCCTTGGCCAATGGGCGCTGCTTAGGAGCCTCTTGGGGGTCTCTTGGGGCACTCTTGGGGTCCTCTGGGGAGCCTTTGGGGACTCTTTTGGGCCGATTTGAACCCTCCGGGAACGAGTCGAAGAGGATGTTGGTTTGGAGACCCTCCGGCGATTTGTTGAGGATGTCCCAAGCGAAACGGCCATGCTTCAGAAACCTGACCGGACAAAAAAGGGGAAGCGCAACTCTGTCAACGAAACCTTGTAAAACGTCAAGAGAATTCAGACTCGTATCGATCCCATTGGATCATTGTATTGGTCTGCCGCGTTGCTCTGTCGTGTTGGTCTGCCGTGCTGCTGTGGTCTGCCACGCCTGTCTGTAGGTGCTGCGATTACCGAGCGCTTATCGACGCCATAGTTGCAAGGCTATACAAGGCTCCCATGACTTGCTACCGAAGGGGCCTGTTCGACACCAATGCATGAGAACTAATGCCAAAAGACCAACGTACCGAACCGTTTCTGGACATGGGGCGG